CAATAAAGGTGGAGGTTTCCTCCAGGTGACAGCTTGATTCTCTTCTATCAATGGTGCCCTAGGTGGGCAAAGTAGCAAACTAGAAAACAGGTGCCTTGTACAAAGGGGAACCACTGCACAACATACCAAACAGTAACATGGGCTCAAGGGACACCAGATTTGATTAGGACATGCCTGAAATCCAGATTTCTGCATGAGTCTTCCAAATTATACATGATGACTCAATTTACAGCCAAACTAAACCTATCCATGAGCCACACATAGACTATAGCCCTTGTGTTTTTATATTTGCTATGGATTTGTTTCTAAATGGCTATACAAAGAGCAAGTATTTGCATGTAAAATCTTTTCTTTCTTAAGTATCTGATGTTTATGAAAAAAATCAGGCCCTAATACGTAATAAAAATTGCTATTAAGATTCATAATACTTCAAGAATTTTTCCACAGCCAGGTGTGGAGTCTCACACCTGTAATCCTAGCTGTCTGGGAGGCCAAGGCAGGAGGATTGCTTGAGCTCAGGAGTTCGAGACCAGCCTGAGCAAGAGACCCCATCTCTATTGAAAAGAGAAAAATTAGCCAGGCATTGTAGCATGCGCCTGTAGTCCCAGCTACTTGGGAGACAGGCAAAAGGACCGCTTGGGTCCAGGAGTTTGAGGTTGCAGTAAGCTACGATGATGCCACTGCACTCTGCCAAGGACAACAGCGACTCTGTCTCAAAAAAAAAGAAAGAATTTTTCCAACATTTATTCATTTATAATCTATTTGTATTTAATTTTCCCAGATTGTTAATCAAGTGGATAATTAGTTCATATGACTGATGAAACCAAATTATTAAAAGAATTCTTATCCATATTCTTATTAACTTCATGGTTTTCAGAATCTTTTTTTTTTTAGAGATGGGGTCTTGCTATGTTGCCCAGGCTGGTCTCCAACTCCTAGTCTCAAGTGATCCTCCTGCCTCAGCCTACTGAGTAGCTAGGATTACAAGCATGTGCCACCATGCTCATTTTTTTATTTTGTTTCCAAAGAAGGAGTCTCACTATGTTGCTCAAGCTGGTCTTGAACTCCTGGCCTCAAGGGAACCTCCCACCTTGGCCTCCCAAAGCACTGGGATTAAAGGCATGAGCCACCACACCTGGCTGGTTTTCCATGTTTAAAACTTCCATCCTGATTATGCCAAAACTCTATGAATTTAACAGACATATTGAGATAGTCCATAATAGTTTCAATTTTAAAAAAATTCAGGACTTGCTACTATTCTAACTGAGAAAACCCTGCTTGCAAGAAACATTTGTTGACCTAATCACCTGAATGATAACAGACAGGAAATCCTGACAGGGTCAGGCTCTAGTCACTGAAAGACCACCTATAAGCAAATTTCTAACAACCCTCTGAATGACAGTGAATAACTGATGGTTGGAAAGAAAAAGGTGTTATTCTCAAAGCTGACAGATACTGCCAGTAATATTCCTTTTAACTTCCCAATCACAGAGGTAGAGAAAGACAGATAAAAGTCAGGTGAATGTTGGAAAGGAGATATTTGAAGGAAGTAGCACATATTAAACTCTAACTCTTTTAGAGATTTCTTAAGTTTTTGAGATATGGGAATTCATATATTACATTTATCTACTCAGTAGTACTTAACCAAGAATGTATCAGAATCTCAAGAAAATTTTCGTTGTTTTTCTGTTGTTAGAGACAGGGTCTCGCTATGTTGCCAGGCTGGACTTGAACTCCTGGGCTCCATCAATCCTCCCACCTCAGCTTCCTGAGTAGCTGGGCCTACAAGCACATGCCACTATGCCCAGATTTGAGGAAATATTTTTCAATATACTTGTCTAGGCCTTGTTAGATATATTAAATATAAATCTTCAGGGGAGAGTTCAGATACGCAAATTTTTTTTTGTTAATTTCCGCAGGTCACTGTGATGTACAATTCTACTCGACAACTAGTGCAGTAGGCAATACTTCAGTCTCATCTCTCACCGAAATGGCCAATTCCCTTTATCATTTGTGGATTTGGCCAAAAAGAGGAAAGAGTAAGAGATGGAGTCATTTACTGTAAACCCCACTTAATTTTCCTGGGAAGGGGGAGAACAGCGACTAGCAAACTCAAACTTCAGCTTGATTTTGCTACTTACAAGTTCCTTATCTCCCACCTTCCCATCAAGGCACTCTAGATTTGAGAGCACAGTTTAGACTCTTATCTAAGTGGCTGTTTCTGCCAGAATAGGATGAGAAGTCAATTAATTATTTCTTCTTCCCTCTTGTTTCCCACTTCATCACCACCTACTTGCTGCCAGTTTGGTTTCTTCAGAGTCCTCCTGAAATTGATCTCTGGGGCAAGTTCACCATTAAATCATTCTCTTTCCCAAACTGAGAATGATTATCCCCCAAATCGAGGAGCACCTTGTCTAAACATATAAACTGGCAAAAAAAAAATACATACAAAAAACATCTTGGTATTTTCCCTCAATTACCTAATTTCCAAATTAGCGTGCATATTTCTGATTACTCTGCTTTTGCCTCTTCATTTTTCCCTCTTAAGTCTTGCCACTGAGAGATAAATCCCTTTGATATAAATTAATAGGAACTGGTCAACAGCAGCAAGATTTCCATTTTTTGTAAAATGC